TTGAAACTTGAGACCTTGGCAAGTAAATACAACAAATAAAATTTCCAAACGTGAGGATCTGATTTGGAGAGGTCACCGCAGTGGAAATGCACTCACCAGGGGAGAGTGCCTAGCTGTGGGCTCAATGAGCCTGATCACTTATTCCCTGAGTCTGATCACTTAGTCCCAAGGACTTTGATAATACAAAGCAATCAGTGTCTCCTAATGCCTCAGGGAATCAGGTTCTCTCTTTGAAGCACATGTTGCATGAGGTTAACAATGACTATAGGGAGGTGTGCGTGTTGAGGGGGGGGGGATGGTAATATAGACATTCATTGTACTTGTCTCAAGTTTTCTCCATGTTTGAAAAATTTCATAAGAAGACATGTTGGGAGGGGCACCTAGGTGTCTCAGCCGGTTGAGGGTCCCACTCTTGATTTCGGCTGAGGTCATGATCTCATGGTTGTGAGATCAAGTCCTGCATTGGGCTCCGAGGTGAGCGTGGAGGCTGCTTGGGATTCTCTCTCCCTCTCAAAATAAATAAAGACATGCTGAGCAAAAGGAACAAAACAGACCACCAGAAAATAAATAAAAGTAGAACAGATATAATATTACAAAAAATAGTACTTTAAGTGAAATATGTTCAGTTTCATGAAAAATTCATTTCTTTTACTTTATTTTTCTCACTTTCCCCTGGAAGAGTGGCAATCCCTGGGCACCCATCTGTGGACCAGCACGGGGGACCCCTTGTGGCGGAAAGAAAGCACAGGGGGAAGGTGGTTGAGAGGGTGAGTTTGGGGGCTAGTCCTCTTACCTGGATTCTAATTCCAGCACCTGCTGGCTCTTGCTCTCTGAGTGACCGTGGGCAAGTTACTTAAATTCCTTGTGACCCAGTTTACTCATCTGTAAAAACAGAGCTTGATAAGAGAATAAGGGAAGTTAAGTGACTTGGCCACTATAAGTGACGTTAGCTGAGTTTGGTCCCAAAGAGAATTATAGGAAATCCTATCCCTGAAATTCCCCCTTGTCTCAGTACACCTGTACATTTTGGTTCAAACTTCTCTTAAAACCCTCAAACCATAGTTCTTCGCCTGTAGGTGGGTTTTTTTTTTTTTTTTTTTTTTTTTTTTTTTTTTTTTTTTTTTTTTTTTTTTTTTTTTTTGTATAATGTTTCTTTATTTTTGAGTCAGAGAGAGACACAGCATGAAAGACACAGAATCCGAAGCAGGCTTCAGGCCCTGAGCTGTCAACACAGAGCCCAACACAGGGCTTGAACCCACGAACCATGAGATCATGATCTGAACTGAAGTTGGAAGCTTAACCGACTGAGCCACCCAGGTGCCCTGTACGTCTGTGGGTCTTATCCTAACCGACTGGTTTCTAGATGCAGGGCATGTTTTGTTTTTCTTGTTGTCATTTTTTTTTCCCTCAGACACATGGCATAGTTTTTTCTCACTCACTGTGTGTTTGAATGAGTAAGTGAAATACAAACACGCCTTACTATGTAAAGCCACAATGCTCAGGACAGTTTCGCCTGAGAATCCTGCCTAGTATTCTTCCTTATTGGTTACCTCCCACGAGAAGTTTGTCAGAAGAGCCAGGAAGCTTCCCAAGTCTCATTAGCCTATGGAGTTTGGCACAAAAACATGAAGCTTAATTTCTCAAAGAATGGCAATTTCAGGTGTACCTGGTTTGCAGAATTGTTGGGGTGTTTGTGTGTGCATTTGTGGGGGCAGGGATGGCCAGCATCACAGTAATGACATGACCTAATGACATGTGGCCCTGGGGATATTACACTACAACTTGTGTCCCCTGCGAGTAATGACAAAACCGCTCTTAGCAACAATGCATCGATCTATGGTCATAAATTGTCACTTCCTGCATAAATGGTCACTCAAAGAGAAAAGACAATTCAAATGTAGAAATCCTTGTCAGAAAGGGTGGGGGGTGGTCTTTGGCCTTTCAAATCGTGGGCAGATAGGGCCATCTGGTGTGCAGTTATAGAACCACACGTTGAATTTTCCTTTAATCTCACTACCAATCAATGTGATTAAGTTGGCTTTACCAGAACAAACCGCTCTTTAGGCTTCCTTAGGGGTACATCTTGAGGACCGTGGCTCATTCCCAAACCTAAGGCTCTCCAAACCCATAATAATCGTATACACTAACTAAGCTTGCCCTCTTATAGATCCTTGTGAGACCAAAGACAAAGCCATGTGTAAGCTGGAGTTCAAGGGGCACAGAACTGTCAGTAAATAGAGGAAGCCTGCAAAGAGCGAGCAGAGCAGACAGAGGGGGAGCAAGAAACTGTGAAATCCAAGAGAGGAAAAAGACGGACCTGTCCTTGGGCTCTCAAAGGCCCTAATAACATTTAATTGAGCTCAGGGGCACCCTGCATATAAACTTTTGAATTGTTGCTCGCAATCAAATAAGTATGACCAAAACAGTATCAGTTTGAGTGAAGCTAAAAGACTGTAAACTCTAACGTGTGGCAAGCCTACCCTCACAAGTCCCCAAATGCCCGCTTGTCTTACTTCTTTAGCATTCTGACAGAGGCCACAGAGAGGAATAAAATGAGGTCACCATAACCATTTGGGGCCATTAGTACTGTCTGGGCCACTCAGCCAGACTTCTGTCAGCTCATGTCTCTCACCTGTTTTGAGGGACTAGGAATCGAAGAAACCAGTGCCCTTGGGGAGTGCTAGAGAATGGACAACCTGAGCCAGCAGCATCTGCCCACCTTGCGAATCTCTGCCCAGGAAGGGGCTGTTCCATGTCTTAAGTAAATCTCAGCATTTAATTTGTGAGTTAGTAATTTTCTGGCTTCCTGTCAGCGTAGACCAGTGTTCTCAAGCGGGCACACGGTTGGCAACAGCCTGGAGACTTGTTAGTTGTTACAGCTTGGGGGAGAGGGATGCCATTGGCATCTAGCAGGTAGAGGCCAGAGATACTGCTAAATATCCTACAACAGGACAGACCTCCCCCTACCTCCCAACAAAGAATTATCTGGCCTCAAATGTCAGTAGCGCTGAGGTTGAGAAACCCTGATGTTCAGGGCACGAGAAGCCCTGAGGGCATAATTTAAATAGTAGGAAGAACAGATCGTTGGCCTAGAGGTGGAGAATTTTACCAAGGGGACCACCACCAAGTTTGGGGAAGACGCCATACGCTATCACTACCGGTGGCCTGATGCTGAGTCGTAGGTAACAGGTGCCAGCAGAGGTTGTGGTGAGGGCAACCTGAGAGAAACCTAAGCAGTCATTCCTTGAACAGAGATACAGATTATGATCGGGGGGGGGGGGGGGGGGGGGGGGGGAGGGACTAAGACTAATCAACTGATTCCATTTATTCTCCTCCCCATCATTAGGAGGCATTGTGACCTAATCTCTACTTATATGGAAGGAATGAATAGACTTGGGTGACAGAGACGAGGGTTTAAATTGGGGTGAGCAGAAGAGCAGCTCATTAATTAACTTATTTAAATGCACATGGATTGGAGAGTGATGTTTTGATAAATCTTAGATGTGATAGACCTGTGAAAAGTAACATATACTTTCACTAGGTTAGTTCTTGGTTGGGCACCTTCAAAGGAAAGCAAGTCTCTTCCCCAAAGAGCATGCAGAGCAGGAATCCCAAAGCCGTATCCATTTTAGGACTTGAACAAGACCAAAAACAACACAGGCCCCTGCCTCCCCATCCTCCTACCCCCTTAAATACGTAATTTCTCTGATGGAGGCTTACATACTTCCAAGACCTAGGCCACAGAAATCCTGGTCAGTAGACTTCCCTGGAATGCTGAGTTGGGGAGCAAGTTTCAACTGGGGAATGTTCTGGAAAACTCCTTAGGCAAGGCCAAGTTAAAGATACACTTCCAGTTTTTGACACAGGACATTTACGGAATACCTGTAGGTGCTCCAAGAGGAATCGAGAGAGCCATTTTGTAAATTGTGAATTTCATTTTAAACTAGGTCGATTTGTCGAGGGCCAAACCTAAGAAATCACATTGATTCATTCATTTCTTTCCTTCAATAAACTTGTGGGTCTAGGCATTTTACTAAGCGCTGGTGATAGAAGCGTAAGACGTGGTGGTGCTTTGTGAGTTCCGTCAGGAGTACCCAGATAAAATAAATAATTGTAATATAAGCAATACAGTCTCCACTGCCGGTCATTCCTCTGTTCTTTCTTCTAACTCTGCCCACGTGTCCGGTACATGAAAAAGATAAGTCAATGAATTTTTGGCCCATAATTAAGCCCTTTATAAACGTTAGCCCTTTATTTATAAGCAGTATCTTGCTGTGGCTGGAAAAAACTTTTCCAAGTCTGGGTCATTAGAAGGTTGCGGGAGTTCGCATTTTTTAACGCTCCCAGCGTTACAGCGTTACGATTCCATGCGCAATGAAGTTTGTGAATCAGCCTGGGTGATGGTAAGCTCTGGAAGGTTTCTAAGCAGGAACGTCCACTCTTTATAACGTTCTAGAAGGAGAGGCCAGAGGCCAGAAAACCAGCAGCCGCACGCCTCCTTTCTGCTCGGCTGTCTCGTCCTGCTGGGCCTGGCCTACATTTCCCAGGATGCTCATTTGCTGGAGCTCCTGCAGGATTGGCCAGAACAACGCGGAAGTCACTGCAGGTCGCTCAGCAACGGGCGGAGTTCTGGACCGTGACTGGATGCCCACGCCCCTTCCCTGCGGCCCGGGAGGTGGACGAAGCTCAGCTCCATCTCCTGAGTCACAGAGCGTTCACCGGCTTTTACTTCCAGCCGAGCGGCAGTGCGCCCTCTCCGGTGCTCTCAACCAGGGCTCTTCCTGGACCACGCCCCTTTCATCCCGGCAGCTCCGAAACTCCGGAGACTGGATTTCAGTTACCGAGTCTGGAGAGCGGCTCTGGGCGGCGCACTGCGCAGGCGCGAGCGTTTGGGTCTCGCCGCGCGCGGCGCTCGGTTGTAGCGGGAGTGAGTTCCTGGGCGCGGAGACCCGGCAGCGGGTGACGGAGCGAGGGGGTGACCGACCGCCTCCCCTACCGCCATGGCAGCCCTGCGCTACGCGGGCCTGGACGACACGGACAGCGAGGACGAGCTGCCCCCGGGCTGGGAGCAGAGAACCACCAAGGACGGCTGGGTTTACTATGCCAAGTAAGGGGCCGCAGGGGGGCCGCCGGGCCTGGGACACACCTGGAAGGGGCCGCACCTGGAACCCTGACAGCCTCACGTGCCCCGGACCCTGCGCTGCCCCCAACGCCACCTGCGCGGGGCCGGCGCGGGCCGGCGCTGCAGCCTGGCGAGGCCGCGCGGAGCGGCAGTGATACTTAAAGAGCTTCCTCGGGGAGGCCCCCGAGGTCCTGAGGAGGGGTCGGCAGCCTTTCTGGGCCCTGGGTCCAGTGGGGTCACCTGGCAGCGCTCAGGCGCGCCCTCTGCTGCTCACGAAGCGGCGCTGCACGGTGCCCTGGTGGCTAACAGGCCTTATTCCCTCGGAAAAAAAAAAAAAAATCAGGAAAAAAAAAAAAGCCGATGCCTCGGGGGTCTGGGCAGGGAGCTGGAAGTATGTATTTTAAATAAATCTCCTAATGTAGTTATGTATGTGTGTGTGTATGTACATATATCTATATACACACATATACATCTGTATGCATATATAATAGAGCTCCAGCAGTTTCCCAGCAAAGTTTTGGAAACACTAGTAGCAGGCCCTTTCTGCCGTTATTAAGCGTGTGACTTTGGGCCATTGAAAGAACTCTTAGTCTTTTTCATCTGTAAAATGGGTTGATAGGGTTTTAATTCAGGCCGCGTACATAAAGCACTTAGCACAGATCTCATAAGTACTCCATGCTCAGTGATTTCACTTACCCCCAACCACCCTGCAGCCATGACAGCACTTAAGCCTGATATTAGAATCACCTGCCAATGGCCCCAAATACAGATTTCAGAGACCCTCGTGCTGCAGACACCCACCGTGGTTCGGAATCTGTGTTTTCTAGGCTTTCCACGTAAGGCAGGTTATCAATTGGCTTTGAGAAACGTGGATGTAAATCAGTGATTTTCAACATCTGGAAAATGTCGAAAATATCTTTTCTTTAGTTCCTCCTCCAGCGCTTCTCATTTAACTGGTTTGGGCCCTCCCCGCCTCCATTGGTATGTTGTCAAATCCGACCAGTCGATTCTTATTTACCCCAGGTTGTGAGCCACTGCTGTCTTTGGTTGGTCGGTAGAAAGAAAACCAGAAAAGAAAAAAAAAAAAAAA